GATGCCGGCCACAGAGACTGGCAAAACGTTAGGAAAAACAACCTTCAGAACACGGCCAAAGAGCCCAAAAAACCCACAACAACCATTAGATCCCAGCCGTGAAAGCCTTCGCGAATATATTTTTATGTTTATCTAAAAAAACTCCATCCATGTTGAATGGACACAGACTAAAAGGAGATGTGGTAGCTTTCTGTAAATATTTGAGTTGCCTCATAGAATGGATAAGAAGCTTTTTTTTCTTCACTAAGGAGACAGAATTCCTGCCAGTGGTTTCAAATAACAAATTTTAAAACTGCACAGACGTGTGGTGCTCATTCCTGACCCTCACTACTCTCTCCTTTTCCCAAACTAGTTTCCAGCTCTCAAACCTCAGGGCATTTCTCCACTGGAGAATTGGAACATGGGAAGGTTGGGAAGAGGCCAAAGTCTCTGCTACCAGATAGAGCAACTCATCTGTGAAGCCAGCTAACAAAAAACAGCCCAAAAGCTGTTATGATGACTGAGTAAAGAAAGTCTTTCACAACCTTAGTCATCAAAATATTTCAGACACATAGGAAATGATGAGTTAAAATAACACAGTTTTTTTGTACCAAGTCACTTTGGGGCTACTTGATAAAAATGTCTTACCTTTTTTTACTGCTACATCACAATACTGATTCACATTTAGCTTTTAGTCCACTAAGACTCTATGACTCTGTTTCAAAACTCTAGATGCATCTGTAGATGTGATGGCAAAATTAAAAGGGAAAAAGTTGGATTTAGTGAAAAAATGTTGTGGCACTTAAAAGTCTAGCAGATTTCTTTTGATGTGCACTTCCAGGCATGAAAGTACTGTATACTCCACAAAACCTCTTTTTTCCCTTGTAGATCTGTTTGGCTCTTCAGTTCAGTCATTTCTTCATTTGTCCTTCTTTCCAGAAGATAACTGGAGTGAGAAAAATTTATGTCCCAGATATGGAAGAATATTTATGCACAAAGCAGAGCTTACTGGACACCAGAGAACTCACACAGAAGAAAGCTGTGCTCAAGAGGAACCTTACGAATGCATTAACAGGCACTTCATTACAGAAGTATCTGGGAAATGTTTAGATCACAATTTACACATGAGTCTTCGGAGACTGCACAAAGGAGGAAAGCGATACAATTACCAGGAGTGTGGGAAGGCTTCTTCTCGCAATTCAAACTTGCTCATCCATCAGAGAGTCCATACTGGGGAGAAACTGTATAAATGCCAGGACTGTGGGAAATGTTTTTCTCAGAATTCATCCCTTGTGACCCACCAGAAACATCACACGGGAGAAAGAAGCCATATAAATGCCAGGAGTGTGGGAGATGTTTTGCTCAGACTTCAAACCTTGTGAGTCACAAAAGAATTCACACTGGAGAGAAACCATACAAATGCCAGGAGTGTGGGAAATGTTATGCTCATAGTTCAGTACTTGTGAAACATAAGAGGGCCCACACAGGAGAGAAACCATACAGATGTGAAGCATGTGGGAAATGTTTTGCTCGCAGTTCACTCCTTTTGAAGCATAGGAGGGTCCACACAGGAGAAAAACCATATAAATGCCAGGAGTGTGGAAAATGTTTTGCTCAGAATTCAGACCTTGTGGGCCATCAGAGAAGAGTCCACACAGGAGAGAAACCATACAAATGCCAGGAGTGTGGGAAATGTTTTTCACAGAATTCAAATCTTGTTGGTCATAAGAAAGTCCACACAGGAGAAAAACCATACAAATGTCTGGAGTGTGGGAAATCTTTTGTTCGCAGTTCAGAGCTTGCATGTCATAAGAGAGTCCACACAGGAGAAAAACCATACAAATGTCTGGAGTGTGGGAAATCTTTTGTTCGCAGTTCAGAGCTTGCATGTCATAAGAGAGTCCACACAGGAGAAAAACCATACAAATGTCTGGAGTGTGGGAAATCTTTTGTTCGCAGTTCAGAGCTTGCATGTCATAAGAGAGTCCACACAGGAGACAACCCATACAAATGTCCTAAGTGTGGGAAATGTTTTCCTCGGAATTCACACCTTGTGGGCCATCAGAAAATCCATGTAAAAGAGAAACCTCTGAAATCCCAGTAATGGAAAATATTTTGTTGATGTTTCAGATTGCACATATTGTGAACCATCACAGAATCATCATAAGAGTGGAACTATACAAATGACAGGAGTGTCAAAATATTTTTGCAGCTGGAATACTCCATTAAGTCTATTCAGGAAATGGATAAGAAAATGCTTTGTCAGTTCTCGTACTGAACATAAAATGAGAGGGGCACTATGGCATTTTTCGGTAAGGCACCAATGCTGTAACAACTTTTATAGGTGCTCAAAGTTTCACATAGTACAAACAGGAAAGGATGAAGTAATTGGTAGGAATGCCTGGTTTAGAACATACAATGACCATTTGGTTTCTACCCTGAATTTACTTTTTCTGTTGCCTTATGCCTGGGGAGAAGAGGCTGGACAGTGTATCAGTGTTTGAGGTGAGCAAATACACACTTTTCCAGCAGAAAATACCAATGAGCAGGTTGAGAATCCTCAAATAGCATCCTGGGTCAAAGTCCAAAGAAATGTGGACATTAAGGCAATGTTCTGTCCTTGCCGTTGTGAAATATTGTAATTAAAAACATGTCAGGGTCTGGTGTTCTGCAACATTAAGAACCCCAAGGGATGTATCCTGCTTTTCGAAATGTCAGCCCCACTCTAGGAAGAGTGGATTTCTCAGAAGATTCTGGAAGAAGAGCACCTTGAACCCTAGCCTCAATTCCAACCTCTTACTTCATTAGAATTTTAGTGGGAACACTCAGGATAAGGATCTTCTGATGCATAAGATTCTTGCTGTATAGCAATATTTCCTATCTGCTTTGAACACTTTGTCATTAACATATTGGTGGGTGAACTTTCTAGATCTGAGACACATTGCCTGGACTTCTGTGATTTATAATAAACATTGTTGATGTAATCAACTGGTGGCAGCTGAAGGACATGTAGCATGAGCCTCTTGCTTGATGAAACAAGCAGGCGCCACGTGGGAACGTGACAGTTCTGTTGATGGGTTTTCCCAGGAATTGGCTGTATATTAGTTAGTCGATCCTTGTGTTGTATCCCCTAAATGCTTGTGCTACAACTTGCCTCAGTATTACAACCACTCCATTTCTTCTGAGTTTGTTGTTTCCAGAGTAAAACATTTTACAGTTATGTGACTGAAAATGTCCAATTCCAGTTTACTGACACCAAGGACTAGAATATTTAGATATTCAGTTTTTTTTTTTTTTTGCTTTACAATTTCCAGATCAATTTAATTCATATTTGTCATGAAATATGGGTTTTTCCCCCGCTTGATGACGATTTCGCTGTACAGCGATTTTCCTGGAACACATTGTCGTCGTCAAGCGGGGCACCACTGTATAACAGTCTTTAAGATGCCACACCATTTTGGTCTTTCTAAGAAATAGTGTGTGCAAGCATATCAGGCAAAACCAAAAGAAAAATTAGAAAGACCAAAATGGTGTGACATCTTAAAGACTGTTATACAGTGGTGCCCCGCTTGACGACGACAATGTGTTCCAGGAAAATCGCTGTACAGTGAAATCATCATCAAGCGGGAAAAAAACCCCATTGAAATGCACTGAAAACCGGTCAATACATTGGGGGAAATACCTGCTCGTCCAGCAAAGATCCTCCATAGGGGAAGTCATTTTGCATCGCTGTCTTCCGGAAATAGGTCTGGAAAACAGTGGGGAGCCATTTTGAAAACCCGACAATCAGCTGTTTTTAATGGTCGTGAAGTGAAAAATCGGTTCCCGAAGCAGGAAACTGATCGTCGTGAAACAAAAAATCCCATTGGAATCATCATTTTGCTATCACTATAGCGATCGCAAAAAACTCATCGTCAAGAGATTTTATCGTCTAACGGGGTAATCATCAAGTGTGGCACCACTGTATTTTAATGTAAACTTTTGTGGAACTTCCTCCTTTGGAAATGAGACTTGGTTGGCTGCTGTTACCGGCATATTGCATTTTTCATCTTCTCCATGCTAACATAGGAGCATCTTGGTCTTGCAGAGCTTCAGTAGTATGGAGTGTTAAGGAAGCCTTGCCCAGCAGAAAGAGAGTGGTTACAAGACTCCGTTACAGGCATTGTTTGGTACAGAATAAAATGAGAGACTGATGCATATTTGGCTCCACAGCAGACCAGGACCCTGATGTTATCAAGGCAGGAAGACTGAAAAAAGGTTAATATGATTTTAAGTCATGTCCACAGAAAAAAAAAAGTATCCAGATCATAGAAAAGTAGCACTCTGTCCTGCTTTACTTAAAGTTCCCCTGGAATGCTGTGTCCAGTTCTGCATATTACCATTGAAGAAACAGAATAAAAAGATGGAACATGTCCAGAAAAGATAACCAGAAAAGATTCTGAAAACAAAGTGCCTTGTAGAGAGAGGTTAAGGGAGTTGTCACAAACATCACTCCTTAGAATTCTCTGATTTGTTTGCCAGTTAATTTTAGAAGAGTCTCATTCATTGATAAAACATTGACAGCCACACTGGCCCTCCCTGCTTTGAGTAATTGCAGCATTCCACCCTCTGCCATATTGCCAAATTTGTTCTTACGATGGCAACGCTTTTTAAAAAATCAATTAAACCGTCTTGAAGAATATAAAACTAAAACAAAACCGGAGTAGATAAAGAGTAATGAGGCCATCATACATTACCTAAAATAACATGTGAAATGCAAAGGCCTTCACCTCGATCCTAAAAGAGTATAAAAGATAAAAAGCAAGTTGTGCTGCTTATACTACTCCATCGTGCTTCAAGCTCTCTCAGCATTTTAGGGAAAATTCAGGTGTTGGTGGAGCCAATCTAACTTAATGGTCAAATTGGTTCTATAATTAGTCTGTTTTGTATTTTCTTCTTAGAGACACTCCCCCCAAACAGTATCCTTGGGATCAGTGTATTGTTGGATGAACTTACTAGATTCTCAGAAACCTAAAACCACAATGGAAGTTGGCGAATAATTACTGCAATGCCAGAATACTGACGCTGAAGCACTTAAGAGTTGAACAGAATGAGGAATTGGAGCCAGAACCCTCTTGGTGACTTATGTTCATATTAAGTGAAATGATGAAAAAATGTGGAAGGGAATCATCAGTACTTAACTATTTGCTACTTGTATTTCTTATTATGCATCACTTCATGCAACTGGTTGCACAGCAAGAGATACAAGCATGGACTATGGTAATTAACACCATAGTAACAATTGACTGCCCACTGCATTGATACTGGGGTATCTCGCCAGCCAGATTCTGACCAGCATGTTTTGTTCAGCATGATCACTAGAAAACTATGTTTTGGCCAAAAAATGATCTTTTGAAAGTTCACCTCCTAGCATATCCGTGGATTTTCTAATGAGAAGACAGAGGACAGCATATCCGTGGATTTTCTAATGAGAAGAGGACACATTTATTTATTTATTTTATTTATATGCCGCCCACTCTACCCAGAGGTTTCAGGTTCATTTTATGTAGAAGGCAGATAGTTCTTTAACAGCTAGTTCTTATTATGGACTATGCCAGTTATTTTAAAATTATATTTATATTGGTTCCTGAAGAGCCAACAATCAGCTGGATTCCTACTGATGTTTGCTTCAGGTTTGCTGTTTGCTGTAGTTAACTGCAGCTAATTGACATGGTGCTGAGGCACATCTCTTTATTGCCTCCACCCACCCCCCACAATTTTGGTGAATCAGCTGCAGAAAGTTACAGAGACCTTATGCAAACACTGGTAGGATTGTAGTCACTAAATGTTTGCCCAGTGTTAGGGGCACAATGTGCTAAGCACCATTTTATTTTATTGGGTGACTCCATTTGGAGTCTGTGGAGAAATTTGTGAATTGCAAGCTTGTATGCTGAAGCAAATCACACATTTTAAATAATACTTCTCTTCCATCAGGGCAACATGCTTGTCCTGATGGTGCAGTTTCCTACATCCTGAAGCAGAAAACCCAACACGGCACCTGTTGTAGGCCACTAGAGCATCTCCATTGCCATCGTGTCTCTCAGTTCTACATAAGTTTTGACAAAGCACTCCTAGCCTCCCCCCCCCCAATTTCTAAATAGCCTCACAAAACATTCCTGTTATCTCCTTTTCTTTATTTCACTCTCATTCACAAGCTCTCAGTGAGGGAGGCCAGCTGTCGGCCTTGCAGCTCCCAGCAAACAAGCCAGTGCTTCCCAACCTTAGGTACCCAGATGTTCTTGGACAACGACTCCCAGAAATCCTGGCGGGCACAGCTAGTGGTGAAGGCTTCTGGGAGTTTTAGTCCAAGAACATATGGGGACCCAAAGTTGGAAGCCATTGCATTTAGTTGTACTCTCTTCCAACAGAACTACGTCCTTGAAGCAGAGTGTCCTGTTGCAGTCAAATAAAGAGCCAAAAACACTGGCAAAGCTCCAGGCAGCTGAAAGAAAAGTCTGCTTCTGTTTGTTTGTTTGTTTAAATACGGATCACTGAATTCAGCCCCTGCCAAACAGGCATAGTGGGGAAATGAACACCCAAGCAGATGTCTACAGCTCTGAGCTATCCAGCAGTTAAGGACTTTGGCAATGGTGCTGCCTGTTTACAAGGGGAATTACTGCTTGTGTGTTTTTTGAGGAGCAGAATTCCTACCTGGTTTATGTACTAAATTAGAACCATGCCTCATAATTTGAAAAAAACACACACTCATGGTTGGTGATCGTTTAATGCTCCAGTAAAGCATTACACACAACGGAGCTTTATTACTATGGGAGATCCCGCAGCTACAGTGGTGCCTCGCTAGACGATGATAATCCGTTCCACTGAAATAGCTGTTTAGCAAAATCATTGTCTAGCGAAAAGCATTTCCCCATTGGAATGCACTGAAACCTGTTTAATGCATTCCAATGGGGAAGAATCGTCGTTGTCTAGCAAAGATCGGCCATAGGAAAACCGCTTTGCGAACCACTGATCAGCTGTTTAAATCGCTGTCTTGCGAAGCTTAGGTCCCGAAAACACCTGTTTGCGAGCGCGGAGGGAGCTGTCAAAACCGTCATCTAGTG